ACCACTTCCTCGTTGCTTTTTTGATGCGTCATCTTGATCGGAATGTTTTTCTCGCTTTCACCAGTGGCCGAATCAATTAGCAATTTGCTCATTCTCCCTTTGCATTCATCCAGTTTGTCAAGAACTTGTTGCATCAGTGGTCTGCTGAGACCTGTTTTCAACATCGACTGGGTCCCGTAGCACTGCACTACTGTCCAGACCTCTTCCATAAAAGCAACTCTGTCCATACCACAGTCTGCTCTCTTCTCATGATCTCGATGGTGAACTTCTCAGGCTTCCTCTGATAGGGTTCTTAAGAAAGGTACTTGGGCTGCGCCTTCTATTTTTCTCCTGCGTGGAGATTCCGTTTTAAAAGTTTTGCAGTAAATTCATTCTTGCCAGAAGTGCAGCTCTCCGGCAACTTATGGGCTAAGGGAGGTTCCAGCGTGGAAGTTCTATCTTCCGCTGGTTCAGTTGTCTCCATCACCGTTTCTGCCTCTTCTTCGTCCAGTAAATTGAAGTACAGGCTCGACACACCACCTACTGAGCCTTTGACGTCATCCTTTCCCGCTTGGTCGGGACCCTGCTCCATTGGTTCCCCGGCTGACGATCTTCTTGTTCTTCTTCATCTCGCTCTTTTCCCTTCCCTGGCTCTGAGGGTCCTTGTTCATCACTCATCGTTTTGAATGGAAGCTTTGGCACGACTAGCTCACCTGCTGATCGGTCTTCACGTTCTCATTGTCTTGCAACAACTTCCGAAAGGCGCTAGAGCAGTCCAATTCAGCAGTTTCCCAGTCATTGTCGACTCTGTCCTCACAATCATGACTATTAGCGCAGCTTCCTGCAAATCTGTTTTACCTGTCATCATAGTTGGCGCCAGGTCTGAGTTGGCCCATTCTTCTCGAATCATCCAGTTTTCGGAGTGGCGGCATTGCTCATCTTTTTCTTCGTCGACTCATCCACAGATGCAAACTTCAGATACTGCAGCGTGGCAGCATTTCTGCCTATGAAGCACGAGTCCATCGGTTCAGAGAATTTTCCCATTCTTCTCTCGTTGGTTTCGCACGCTTTCAAACTGCCAGTGTGTACAACAGAATCTGCTCCGATATACTGCAGCGTGGCAGCATTTCTGCCTACGAAGCACGGGTCCATCGGTTCAGAGAACTTTCCCATCCTTCTCTTGTTGGTTTTGCACGCTTTCGAGCTGTAAGTGTGTACAACAGAGTCTGCTCCGTCACAAACTTGCTGGCAACCCTGATCAACTTTAAGAGATCTGTCATCAAAGCTAGGCATAAATCGGTTATTAGGGACATGTCTTCTACTTAACGTCGCACTTGCTCCTCTCTTTCAATCGTCTTCTCTTGTGCCAAAACGATTTTGCTGTAACATGTATTGTATCAGATTGTGTCTTAACTTCCGCATTTTAGTCCAAGAGACTTTGCACCTTTTCATGTCAAATTTTCTCATATTCTTCCTCATTTATTTGGTGTAGCGGGTTAAGGTCATCAACTCTCCCAGTTTTCTAAATGTGTTTGCAATCAGTGTCAAAAAACCGTCCAGTCAGAGGTTCTGTATTCCTTCGGTCAGCAGCACGGTTGGTCCTTTTTCTGAAATTTTCTAATCCGAACGTCACAAACAGTCCCAGGATAACTACCAACCATAGTTCCGTAATGGCCTTGAGGAAATCCCCTATTAGATAGCGAATCAGTCTTGGGTAAACTTTTGCCAGGAAGGACACGGTCCATCCTACTCCCAACCCTTCCAGACTGCTCTCCGACCTCTCAAAAGCTTCTTCTCCTCGCTCGTTCTCTGTCCAGAATGCCTCGAGTGTTGTCCGGCACATCCGGATAGGAACTCCGCTGATTTCTCACCTTCGCTTTCCGCCAAGTTTTTTTTTCTTACCAGGTAAGCGTGGATCTTTGCGATCATCGGTGGGCCCCGATCGAAAGCGTCCATGCCCAATGCTGCTATTCGAGGATTCAAGTGCAGCCATTTGTTTGCCCTCGGTTTCGTTCGCAAAACCATAGCTTCCAAAAGAACTTTTTTTTCATTGGTCTGCCTCTTTGGTTTTTCTACTGCCTCGACCTCCATTCTTCTGAACCAGAGGTCATTTGACATCTCCACTATCACTTGATGATCGTCATCATTTCCTGGCTTCATCTTGAGTTGTCTGCTGAAATTGAACAGCTCCAATCCCAAAACTTCGTCTAACACTTGCTTGTGTAGCGAAGGGTATTTCAATCCTCTCATGGCGTTTGAGATGTGTGACCATTCTGCAGGGATTTTTGACTTAAGTGGTCTCAGATTCCCCGCCTCCACTTCGGGATTTGGGGCAGAAATGATCGATCGCACCATATTTCCGTTCTGAGAGGAGTGCAATCTTTGCATACACAAGTTTCAATCCTTCCGGGATGTGTGCATATCTCGGGAATAACACAAATACTGGCTTTGGAGTTATCTTCTGGAACCCGCATGGACTCCAGAACGTGTTTGATTGCTGGCCACACTGCAGCTTCTGCCGTTGCTGGCTCTCTGAGTCTGCTCAGGGGAACCTCTGCTGTGCAAGTCATTTTGTTGATGCGGGCAAAATGATCGTTATCGGATTCATTTCTGTTTGTCGTTGAATCCCAATTGCCAATGATATAGTATCGTGGCTTTTCTCATCTCATCTTTTTCATAGACAGCGCAGATGGTCTCGTCTATTTTAAACATTATTGCACCATATCGTTCTACATCACATTCTTGCGCGACTTGCTTCGGATAAGCTCGCTCCTTCACGTGAGCTGGAGGCGCTTGCACCTGTTTAAACTTCTTGACAAGTTGCTCAGAGGGTGCTCTTATTGTCAAGATTCTTCCCGGTATCTCCTCTCTTGTTTGCTCGCTGTGATTCTTACTTATATCTTCTAATGGTCTGATATTCAAAGAAACTATGGTGTCGTTTGAGGGCAGTCCCTCGAGGTCAGTGAACTGCAATGCTGTCGCAGAGCTGAAGTTGATTTCTGCCGCTATCAACTAGTTCACTCCTACGATCGATTACATTCCATTCTCTGACAGTCTGGCTTCATTCAGCATACTCATCGCATCAGCTTCAAATCTTACTGTTTGGATGTTCAAACTCATCAAATCCTGCTTCTAAAAGTGCCAAGGGGAAAGGTTTTGGTCTGGACCACATCAGGGAGCTTCTATATGGGCGTCGCGCCTCCCAGCTCGCAGTCGCCGTCGTCTCGGATCTGGGGTGACAGAGGTCGTTTCCACCGCTTGATTGACTGGTCCCAGCCTTCGTCGGGGATGGATGGTCCTCCTCACTGGTGCTACACCGAGTCGATTCAATATGTCTGATCTTCGTTCTCGCTCGCTCGAGCTCTGCATTACTTGCGGCATGGCTGGGACTGATCCCAAGCGTGTCACCAGATTAGGCGGCATAAAAGTTGAAATCGCCGGCACGTTAGTCGCTTCCTCCGTTCTTAGAGCTCCAGTGTCGAATATATCCACCTCCAAATCGTTCCTCGAAGACACGGTTCACCCATGCTCGTCCTTCTATACTGTCGAAGTATATTCCATCAGAGTTGAATCTGGCCTGATCCACAGCTCTCAACTCGTGCTCCAAGTTCATTAGAATCATTTGTCTAGTTTTGCGACTTACCAGATTGCTCACTTTATTACTCCACCTCACGACTCTTTCATTGCGTCTTCTCGCTGTAGCTGACTGTGCTCTTGCGCTCATTGTTATAGTGCAGACAGTCAGTATTACCCACTGAATCTTCTGCTACACCGCAGTAAGCAGGCACACTAGCATTTTTCCACATTGACCTTCTTCTGAATCTGAGTTTCTGGACACGTTGTTGTTGCATATCAAAATCATCACCTCTACAATTCTGCCTGGGTTCATCAACTCAACCATTCGATATGGCGGGGTTACCGTGTTTTTTGTGGCGTCTCCGAATATCATCACCGTAGTGATTCATGCGGCTCCTAAACTCTGAAGCACTCTCACTAGATTATCGCCTAATATCAAATGTGACGTTCCAAGGGCTAGTTGCTGCATATTCATCGCTGGACCCCAAATTGATCGATTGAAACACGCTCGCATGTCCGTCTCCGCGACTACTGTGAACCTGTTTTTGACCTGACTTTTCTTCTTTATGTCAAATACTCGTGAGATTTTTTCTACCACTTCTGCGGCATCATCTGCCGGTATCATCAGTTGTTCAATAGGGTGCAGTCAGCCAGAACTTGGCGCATTCCTATTGGCCACGAGTCGACCAGCGGCTTCCACCAGCTGCCTTTTTGTTTTTCTACAACTGGGTCGCCTAGGGTGTCGTTTGGCTCCAGGATTGTCACTCTACCGGATCCTGTTGGGCTTGCACTTCCGTTGTTTGACTGAGCTCGCGAGGGGTCAGAAGCTTCATTGGCAATTTCTCAAGGGGAACGCTTCCTGCAGGTAATGGTCTTTCCGTTTTCACACATCCCAATCGTGCAGATTGCTCCTTATACTTCTGCCTATAGCGTTCTATCTATTCTCCCTGCTTCTTGTTTCACCGTCAAACAGTCTCCTCCACATATCTCTATCTTCTTCAACTCTGGCCAAGGTTTCCCTCACTCGGTCCAACTGATGTCTCATCTCGTTCAGACCTTCCATCGTTTGATTCGTCTGTAATTCTTCTTCTTCTCTGGCTCTTTTGGCGGGCACTGCAGCTTTCAACTTTGAGCTAGACGAGGCAAGCTCGCTAATCATTTCTTGATGTAACACTTGATCTCTACTCCTCAAACCGGGCCTAGGCCTAGTTGGGAGAGGCATCTCTCCAGGCCGTTACGTCCTCGTCGTCCCACCCCGTTCGTGCGCCAAGTTGCATCCAGAGAGCGGTCCCTTTCTCCATCTCATAACCCGCTCGCCCCAAGCTACCATCAGCAAGACTTCCGTGGGGCGGTCCCCACAGTTGTCATGCACTTGAAAGCTCGTCAGAGCAGCCGTCAAAATGACTCTCTCTGGGTCATCCTGGGCGTAGTCTTTTTCCAAAATCCTACCATAGAGCTCGTCTATGACTGGTAGAGCTCGCTAAAACGTTTAGCTCCTGCTGACGTCTGATCACATCCCTTACATAGACTTGTGGCGATGTCTTCTTTCCTTTATACTCCGTGTAGAAGAAATTCAATGGCGAGGCCTTTTCATGCCCGGTCAACATTAAGTGCGGACTAATTCCTGTTGTGAAAAGTTGCGTGCTGTTGTAAGCTCCCATTGCTTGTGGCAAATATCTGTCCCAATCGGTGTGTATCGGGAACAGCATCGATACCAGAGTCCAATTTTTTCTTTCCCCTGGGCCATTCGTCTGGGGTTGGTACGTCGTAGAATCAGCCTGGGCGACAAGTGAACGTCTCATGAGCTCCTTAGTAAGCTCTCCCACAAAAGCAGTTCCATTGTCTGATTGGAATGTCATCGGACATCAATGTCTGGCTATCCAAGTTTTGATCAGATGATCGCAAGTCTCTTCGGCCGAGGCTTTTATGCAGGGCAGGGCCTCTGCATACAATGGAGAGTGATCGATCATCACTAAGATGTGGCTTTAGCCACTGTCTGTCATACAAACCTTCTGGCGATCAATCTGCGCCACTTCATTAAACTCAGTTGACTCGGTTGACTGTAATGGGAATAGCAATTTCCTAGGGTTCATGGTCTGTTGGCACGACAGACATGCCTTCTTCATAAAAGGGTTTCAAGATGTTTTGGTATATTTTATCGATTCCTTGATGGCCCATATGATCATGTGACTTGAATAAAAGTTCCGTCTGATAGAGTTGCGGCAATACCACGACCTGTCCTTCGTAGATGACCTTGTCCTCTTCTCTCCTTTTGCAGGCCACGATGACATCCTTATTCAGTTATAACCGTCTTTCTTTCTGCCAATAGTAATGTCTCAAGATCCGGTAACTATCTTCTTCCAGCTCTCCTTTGTCTGATGCCCCATTTTAGATCCACTTTTGACGCACCTCCCTGTCCAAGTCTCTTGCTCGAGACTCCACCAGCAATGTATGAATCACCAATTCTGAAAATTCATATCCTGTGCTCGAGTTCCTGTCTGAGTGCGAGTCAACCTCCGAATTCTTCGAGTTGTCTTCGACAGATGAATCCAACGTGGAGCATGTCTCCACGGCAGTTTTTGATGTGCATGATCTACTCATCCATCTAAACTCCTCGGACATAACTTTGTCCACCAGATTTTTCCACCTTCCAATCCGTTTCTTCAGTGTCCGATTCCCCGAGCAAATTTTTTTGATCCGAGTTTTCCGACTCGACTTCTATTAGTGTTTGATCAGGCGCCTCGAAAACATTCTCTTAAGTGATCTCAAAAAGGACCTTCTTCTGAGTCCTGACCTCTTTTTCTCTCGTCTTGTACAATTTTTTCATTAAAACGCTTTGAATAATTGAGGAAACTAGTTGCTGAGCTACTGTCCTACAATCCCTTTCATTTTCCTTGTGTTGCCGTCTTGATGGTTTTATCCGTACTTTCTCACTAACCGTCAACGATGCTATGGCTGCTGACCATTCAGGATCAACACTAGTCACTTCTTTCTCTAATAACCCACCCAGCACCCGCATCAGCTCTGGTGTTACCTGCAGCGTTTTGTCTAGCAATGATAGACTGTTAATTTTCATGCGAGAGAGTTCCTGTCGAACCAGGTTAGAACGTAACAACAGATCCAAGGGCACCGGGTCCTTCTTGAATAAGATCTTGACCTCTGCCGCTTTTTCCACTGGTATTTCAGGGTGCCCCAGAATTGGATGTCCTGATTTATCCAACCATCTCAGCAAGTGAAGTGCTTCGTAAACCTCGTTGTCTAAAAACAAGAATCCTTTCTTGATTTCCGCCTGATTGTCGCGCTTCTGTTCTATTTTTCGTAAAGTTCAGTTTTCCTGCTGAGGTTTTCAGCATTATGGCGCTTTTCAAGCATCCTTAGTTCGATTATCATGTGGTAGCCATCCAACCTGACTATCCGAACACTAAATTAACTCTCGTTCATCCAATAAGTTTTCAACCAGGATAGGGCTCGGTTGTCCACTCGCAACATAAATGGAGCGCTTTCCAAGTAGGTGCGATACTTCTCCACAAACGTGACTACCGCAAGCATTTCTGCTTTTTGGCGCACCGTTTTTTAACCCAGTGTCCCTCAATACCTCACTGCCGTATGCAATTGGACGGAGAACTGTTCTACCATTCCATTCTTGCGCCTGATGCAGTATACCGGAAATGGCTACCACTGAAATATCAGTGTCGAGAACGTACATGCCTTTCTTCTTGGTCATCCCTAGCAATGGCGTTTCGCACAGCTCTTCCTATTTTTTCTCCAAGGCTTCCTGAGCTCATTCGTTTCATCAGAATTTCTTCCCGTTGTTGCGCATCAGTTGCTGCATCGGGTAGACTTTAACTTTGTATCCCTTTACGAACTCTCGATAAAAACTCGCGAATCCTAGGAAGCTATCAGCTGCGTGTCGGTTCTGGGTGCCTTCTAAGTTAACACGGCCTCCGCCGCATCCGGATCCGTCTCACGCCATGCTTATCCATCATTCTTCCCAGGTAAATTAGTAAGTCCCTAAGGATCTTTCATTTCGAGGGTTTGCATTGCAAGCCCGCGCTCTTCATGCAATCAAAGATTTCGTCAAGTCTGTCAACGTGGTCTGTCAAGGTGGGTGTCGCTATCACTACGTCATCCACATAGCACATAACGAGGTTCCCATGCTTCTTTGTTTTATTGGTCCCGGCTTCAGCCATCAGTCTCTGAAAGGTCGCCGTGGCATTGCACAAGCCAAAGGGCATCCTCTTCTTTTGGTACAAGCCTAACTCACATGCAAATCCGCTCTTCTCTATCCTGTTTCCCCGAGGGAACTGCCAAAAGGCAGAACCCAGGTCAAGTATTGTGAAAAACTTGGCATCGCCTCATTTGAGAGGCTCTCGTCTATGCGTGGTATTGATTAATTGTCCTTTATGGTCATCGGGTTCAGGTAGAGAAAGACGCAGCAGAATCTTAGCTGTCCTTATTTTTCTTGGCCATGACAACCCGACAAACCCAAGGTGACTTCGAGGTTTCTATCATGTCGTCTTCGAGCAATATTCCTCTTTTCGCTCAGCTCGCCTCCGATCTATGAGGTGTCATGCACCTCGCTCCCTCCCTGTGAGGAACGGTGCTTTCTTCTAAGCGAAAATTAGAGCAACCAATATCCACTTAATAGTTTGAAAAAACATCTGCATTCATATTTGAAACTGCCCTCAGCAACTCAAACTCTTCTTCCCTATGTTACATTTTAAGTGATCTATTTCCGTCAGAACCGGTTTGTTAGAATCTAATTCATCTGATGAGGGGTATTCGGGAAAGTTCGAGCAGCTCGATAAGCCGTCATCCGTCTCAGATCTCATTGAACATATTTTATTTAAAGATTTCAATTCATTAATCTTTTTCAAAAACATTTTTTTTGCGTGTGTTGTTTTACTCGATGCTTCTTCAGGTTCGGCGTTTCGTCAAATTCAGTCTTCATTGACAAAGAGTAGCCAAGTTTCCTTAAACGCTGGATTGAAACCGTTGTGTCCAGTGTATTCAACATTTTACTCTTGCATAGCCCGTTTCGTTTGACTGAAAAGCTCTGGCCTAAAACCACTGAAATTTGACTGTTTGGGTACGGTACCAGGCAAACCTGCATACTATCACTCAATGACCTTAAGTTTCTCATCCTCAGAATCGCTACAGCCTACCTGACTGTAATTTTACTTTTCTGTCCAAAAAAAGTGTTATCTTATTTTCATCAGTTATTATCCTGTTTACTGGTCGTTTTATAAGTCTTCCCGTTGGGTTCCAAATCCTTATAAGTCCATTATTAATGTCAATCATCACGTCGAAATTTCTGTCAAAACCAATACCGAAGATGAACTGATCCGAATCATCCATGTTCCCCACCACGAGAAAATTCATCCAGAGGTTCCGTCCTCACATCTTGAGGACGGCTATTGGAGTTCCCCCGGCTATGTAAATGGCTCCGCAATTGGCGGCTGTCAATCTTAAGTTCGTGGGTATCAGGTCCTCCCTGTTGAAACCCATCCTTTCCCATGTCTGTATCGGCATTACACTGACTACTCCTCCTGCGTCTATGAGTCCCTTTACTCCGATCTTCTTTCCATCGGTGTCTAGCAGATGCGCAACTTCGTATCCAATGTGTGCCGCATCTTGTTCCATCATGGCGTCATGACCAATTCTTCGGACCTTCAGCTCTTTTCGACCCAAAATTATCTGTCCTGTTTGGTCATTGTCTGGCGTGACGTGGGTATTGGTATAAATACTAATCCCATCCACATTGAAGATCAGTTGATGTGCTCCGTAGACTTCCACTTAACGCCCTTTAAGTCTCATTGTTCGCGTGCCAACCGTCGTTAACAAGGCTCGCACAGCTCTCGATTCAGTGGGTTCCTCTACTTGTCTTAGATAATCTGCATAACTTTCCATATGCATCATTGTGAACTCTAAAGGTTCACTCAGATTTCTGATTACTTGATGTCCCGCCACCGAGATGATCGACTGTATCTTACTGCCTTGTGCCACCATCCTGCATGTCTGCCCTGAGATCACATTTAACTTCATGCTCAAACTGCTCGGTGCAATCGTTTTCTCCATTACAGAGGCTTCAAAGGCGTTAAGTTGATCTTGAGATCTCTCGTTCTTCAGTTCGAGCTGCACTTTTTGTTCAATTTCCCTTGTTGCCAACTCCTCTTAAACTCTATTCAGGGCATCTTTTGCTGCTGCTTTGTAGGCAATCTTAAAGTCGTTAGCTGCGGATCAGCCTCTGTTCCACTTGTTTCTCCTTGCACGGCTTGCATTTTTTTCGTAGCCAGCTCCTGCGGTTTCTCTTTCCTCCGTGCTTCCGCCTCGCTAATCATGCGTGCCTTGCTTGCTTTAACGCCTGAAAAAGCCTCCTCATTCCTTGGGTGCTTGATGTCCGCCACTGCATCCCATAACTGTGGACAATCTGATTCAAAATCACACTCCATGTTGCAAAAGAAAGACCTGGGGTCGAATTTTTCAATCACTCCTCTCATAAAATCCTCATAATTGATCTCCGACGCGTCTTCATCTTCGAGGCTAAGAAGGATCGCTTTCATGCCCTGTTTATAGGTTGGGCACGCTGATAGTCTGTGTAACTGCAGTTTGCACAAGAGCGTTTTTTGTCCATGTCAACCCTGGGTTTGTAACAGTTGTTACCCTGGTGAGCAGATTCATTGTTAAAGTTGCTATAATTGTTTTTGTAGTAACCTGATCTAATTGGAAGCTTCAGCAAAAGATATTCCTTGGACTTCAGTCGCAGCACTTCCGGTGTAGGTGCATTGGTTGAAAGAGGTGTATGGTGCGTCGCTAATGTTGTCCTGAAGTCATCGTTCTTCACACCATCAATGAACTT